TAAGTAAATCAGGTTCAGAAGTACAAAGGTCACGTGTACTTTCCCATATGTGGAATCTAGACCTAAAAAAATATAGATATATTCCTATATATCTACAAAAACTTGCCTGTAATTAAGGGACTGTCTAGGGGAACGGGGAGGAAGGGGGTAGAAGGAAAGAGAATAACATGGGGAGAGGCAATGTGAAATACATTGTGTCTATGTATGAAGGTGGCACAAGGCCACTCACTGAAAGCTGCTGGAAATAGTGGCAGGGGAGGGGGGAAGGGAAAAGAGAGAGCCCTATAGGGGATTATCTGATCAATGTACAATATTGCATATGTGAAATTCCATGGTGCAATTCCTTTGTAGTGAGAGAAATGTGACAAATAAGTGTGATATTGCAGACAAAAAGGATATTAGTGAGACGACTGGAAAAATTTGAATGTGGTCTCCATATTAGTTACTGGTATTATATCAGTATTAATTTCCTGATTTTATATATGTAAAATGGTTCAGTAATGGGTTATATAGGATGCTCACACAAGGAAAGCTGAGTTTAAAATGTACAGAAACTATTATTTTTGCAAATTTCCTATATGTCTGCGGTTACTTTGTAGATTAAAAGATGAGAACAAAAACAGAAATGTTACTGAAGAAGACTGACAACTGGATAACCTCATGAAAAATGATTAACCTAATTAAGTGACCAAATTTTAAATTGAAGTCACAATAAAATCTAACCTGTCACTTAAATAGTTAGGATTTAAAAGACTGATAATTTCCAATGTTGGTGATGGTGGACCATGAAAATTTCATGTATCACTGACTGGGAATGAGAAAAGGTTTTGAAAACTCTGAGAAGGCGTTTTGTCAGTTTCTTATAAAGTTAAGCAAAAATTTACCTTATGGTCTAAAAATTTCATTTTTAGGTAACTGCATAAGAGATATGCTAACATTCAGAACAGCAAAAGCTAGAAGCCAACCCAGGGTCCACTGACAAAGAACTAAATAAGCAAATTGTAATATGCCCATTCAATGGAATTTATATTACAAAAGAAAAAAATTAAAGCATACTGATATAGGAAACAGTATGGATGAATTTCAATACCAAAATGATGAGTGCAACAACTCAGACACATACTGTGATTTAATTCTTATTAATTTTGAAAATAAGCCAAAGTAACCTATAATCATAAAAGCCAGGACATTGTTTCATTTGAGAATTTACTGAACTGGCAAGAAGCAGCAGTGTAGCTTCCCAAGTAATAATAAAGGATTCTACCTCTTCAATGAGGTAGTATCTACTTTAACAAAACTCACTGATGTTATAAAAAAGACTCATTGAATTACACAATTAAGATCTATATACTTAACTATGTCAGTTTTACCTTTCTAAAGACATAAATTATGGGCTAGCAGTGTAGCTCAAATGGTCCTTTCCTAGCAAGCATGAGGCTCTGAGTTCAATCCCCAGTACTGCAAAAAAAGGCATAAATTTAAAATAATAAGGTCCTTATGTACTGACATATAATAGTCTGCAATATAATAAAATATTTATGTATTACTTAAATATATGCAGAATAGTATAAAATACATGTGTATACATGTGTCTATCTGTACACATCCATCTTGAGGATTATTACAGAGAGAAAGAGAGAGAGAGAGAGAGAGAGAGAGAGATGGGAAAAATAAGAAATTAATAACACTAGTTTCCTATAGGAAGAAGAAATTGGGTGGTCAGGGAGAATAGACTTGAGAAGGTAAATTACATCTCACTGAATACGCTTGTGTAAAATTTGAAATTTGTAATATACAGTATGACAAAATACATTTTAAAAATGCTTCTGGGAAGAAAAATATTACAACTTCTTAGATTATTTATAAATACTTTAAAAATAACATGAAGGATGGATGCAGTGGCTCACACCTATAACCCCAGTTAATTGGAAGATGGAGATCAGAATGTTCCTATTTTGAGGCCAGCCTGGGCAAAAGTTAGTGAAACTCTAGCTCAACAAATAAGCCAGGTGTGGTGGTATGTGTCTATAATTCCAGCTATGTGGGAAGCATAGGTGGGAAGATCATTGTCTGTGTCTGGCCCAAGCAGAAATGTGAAAAAAAAAAAAAAAACTAAAGCAAAAGGACTGGGGGTGTGGCTCAAGTGGTAGAACACTTGCCTAGCAAGAACAGGGCCTTGAGTTCAAACTAGTACAGCCAAAAAGATTAAAATTAAAATAAGTAACATGAGGCACATATGGCAAATGTTGATGATGGAATGGAACATGGGTTCCTTGTCCCCAGTATCTGCAAGTTCACTGTTCTTGTCTCCTCCTAGTCTAAATGCTTCAATGTGTTCATCATGAAAAGTTCTATAAAACACACAACAGAGTAAATCATTACCAAGACCAAGTGAAAATAAGTGGATTGCATACATTTAACAATTTATTAGGAAAAGAAGCAAAGGAATACTGGAAAAATATATAAATAAATTAGAACATTTGAAATATTGATAAACTATACCAAAAACCTAGTTGGGGCTAAAAGGAGGAGATGCCTAGTGATGCTAAAAGCCCACCAGTTGAACTCATTTCTTAAAAAAGGCATAGTAGAAAAACTGAAATATCATGCTAGTTTTGGAAAATCAGCATGGATTGTGATCTAGGAGAAAAAAGATGAAACATAAAACACAAAATATCAAACAAGCAATAACTGTAGAAAAGTGAAAAAATTCAATTCCACTCCAACCACCAAAAGCAAGAGAATTAAGATGATTTCACTGATGTGTTCATTTAACTATTGATTGCAATGTTAAAAGTTTTAAGCCATTGAGCAAATAAGAAAATTCTCAAAATAATTTTAATACAGCCAGAAATTCTGATATCAAAGTATGAAAAAGTAGCACAAAAGGAAAATCACAGATTAAAGTCACTTAGCCATATACTTCCAAAAACTCTAAATCAAATTAAATGATCTATAACTCAGCAATAAATTAAAATAATAAGACATTTTTCAAAACCAAATAGGGTCTGTTCATTCAAGGACTCAAAGGAAGTTTCAATAATGGAAAATGAATTCTTTCACGGTCATAAATGTTTTAAGAATAATAGTATAATTGTGCAAAAGTATCAATTATATCCACTACCTGGTTTTGATTTAACATTCCTTAGAAAAATATAAAAAGTGGATGACTTTTCTAACATAGTAAACCAAATATCTCAAACTTAAAATTAGTATCCTGTATTGATGAGTAAAACCATCCACATCAAAATAACTTACCTACTGGACTAAAACTTGATACCACCCCCAGCAGAGTCCTACTCAGCAAGATACAAATGTAAACTGATAAATAGATACAGTCTGCTCATCTAGGAAAATAGCTCCTGTCATTGATAATATGTTACTTAGGCAAACATCTCACTTAAACAGTAACTTTATTATCAAGATTCACATTAAGAACCTCACCACACTCCCCCATCAATCTTAAAGTATTGCATGATGAATTTTGCCCATTCCTAATCAGTTCTTTGCCTTAAACCACAATAGCCCAGATCCAAAAGCTTTTAAAACACTATTAATCCCTGCCAAGGTGGTGTTTTCCCTTGCTGCAGTAAGTTTAATAAACTTAGCTTTGCTTGATTATAGCTCTTTTGGGTAGTCTTTTGGGGAAAACAGACCAGTAACAATGGCTGTTCAACCCAAGAAACATTCCATTAAAACCCATTTAAATCAAGGGTGGTAGTATGTACACAATTGTTTAAGTGCTCTGAAAGTACCAGTCTGTGGGCTTTGTTAATATAACCAAAATTAGGATCAGTTGGAAGGAGGAAAATCAAAACTGTCAATATTTGCAAAGAGTTTCATATATATTTTGAAAAAAATCTGAAAAGTAATGAGAAACAGTAAAGGTGACCATTTACTCCCAAAAAAGCAAAAATAAATTAAATAAAACTTTCAGATACAGGAAATGAATAAGCAAATAAAGTGAAAAGAAAAAAAACCCATCATTGAAATGCAAGTATTGACAACAATTAAGCTTTTTGAATAAGAGACATACCTTGTTTCTGATTATGAAGACTTAATATTATTAAAAACCAATTTCCACCTAAATTAATTTATTAAGGTTGATGAAATTGCAGTCTAAACTGTAATTTCTTCCAACAAGAAGACACATGAGACAGGAGGCAGAAGAAGAGACACACAGATCCACAGAACAAAAATGGAGCCAGTCAGAGATGAGGATACAGCATAGGCGCAAGATGGCATTACAGAGAAATGGGCAATTATTGGCAAATAATCGCAAGTAATGGCAAATAACTTGGCAACTTTAAGATTTCAAAGCAAAAATTTTCTCATGATATAAGAATTTGAATTAAAAAAACACAAAAGAATTAGAAGTTAACATAGGTGAAGGGTTTTATGGACTCAGTATAAATATCTTTCCAAAAAATGACATGAAACTCAGCCATAAAAGCAAACATGGTTATACTTGGACATATAACAATCATACACATTCTTGTAACAAAAACAAAGTTAAAAAGTATGTAAAAGTATCTGTAATGCTTGACAATCCAAACACATATTTCCCAAGTAGTAAATGTGCTCTTTGAAATCTGAAAGACACTAAAACCTCCCCACACTCCAAAATTAGACAAAGAGGAAATTAAAAATACAGATGGTTAATAGACATGTGAAAAAATGATCAAACTCAAAAACAAAAGAAATACAATTTAAGACAACAATTGGGGTAGCACATTGGCAAAAATTTAAATATTATAAAGTCCATTATCTGTGAAGTTGTAGGAAAGTTGGCAATCTCATTTATTGCCAATGAAGTAAAACTGGTAAGCACATTTTAAGAGGAAATCTTTCAATAATTTTCAAAATTTGATGTGTTCATATCCTTAATTCCAGTACTTCAACTGCTAGGTGATTTTATTATAATATAATAGACAAATGCAGAGTTGTTGATATTGAGGGAGATTCATTGCACAGAAGTTTGGTACTAACATAAATACCTATGAGTGAGAAATCCTTAAGACATTTAATTATATTTCATCTACAGAACAGTCATGCAGTCATTCAACAAATGACACAGATGTGTATGTATTACTGAAATAGAAAAAGCCCATTGAAAAGACTACTAGATGAAAGAGGAAATTTGCAAGAATGTGTTACAATATGGCTCCACTTCTAGATCCCCTCCCCCAGATCACTTGAGTATGTGTTTGTGCACATCTATCCACTAAAAGAATGCACACACCTCCTTAAGAGGAAACTATGGGATAAAACTGAAAGAGAGGAGGGCACCTAGTTTATGTATTACTTAAATATATTTTGAGTTTTTGAAAAAAATCATGCTGTTTCTTTTGAATATCCCCCCTATTTTTTAAAAAAATTTATCATATGGCAAATAAAAATTATAAATGTGTATTTGTGGGAGCACTGAGCAATTCCACCATTTTTGAGCTTCTTGTGTAATATTATTTCCTCTACTGAGGCTCCTGGGATTGAGTCAAGCGGCAGCAAGGGAAATTGTCACCATGCCCAAATTAAAGTCTCATCGGTGATATCCCAATATGAGCATTTCTCAGTTAAGCATTTCTTATCTGCAGGAGGTATCCGCTGCCACACAGGAAAGAAGACTGTATCGTTGTTTTGGTGAAGCTGGTATAGAAGTGATGGTATCAACTGTAACAAATCCGCCTCATCTTTGTGATCACCATCTGCAAGGACACAGAGGAAAACTGGTAAACAGGGAAAACACTCTTTTTAAGGAGGCGGGGAGCTGTGAAATATTTATTTACTATTCTCCTACATTACTGGAACACATCTACTCAGGTGACAAAGAGAAAGCTACATTTTTATCAGCTCAGATCTGTGACTTTAAAAAGTTCCTAACATTAAGTATGCCAGGTATGTGCTGCCTTTTCTCCTTTTGGTGGGTTAAAAAGTGACAGACATTCTCTCAGATTTTGTGGCTTCATCTTCCTTTCTGTATTTGGCTCTCTAAAGCTCTACAATCCACACAGGGCTGGCAACTGGCTCAAGTGGAATGGTGCCTGCCTAGCAAGTGAGAAGCAAGCTTGATGCTCAGAGCTCAAGCCCCAGTACCACAAAAACAACAATAACAAAAAGCTGGGGAGTGGCTCAAGCAGTAAGAGTGAGGCCCCGAATTCAAACTCCAGTGCTGCCAAAAACAAAAGTAAACAAAACTATTTGTCTGCCTTCTGGTCTAAAAGTTTCCAGGAATCTACTGTGTCTCAGGCATACAATTCTCTAGCACACAATGGATCAAACTATGAAGCAGCTGGGTCTAGTGGGTGAAAAGAAGAGTTAAGAAAATCCTTGATATAAACAGAAAATGTACTGAGATACAGAAAAGCTATGGAGGTACATAACAAAAGCTGTATGTCTTAGCACATTGGTCAGTCTGGTCACTGGAGTTGAGTAGAATGTACTCCCAAAGTAAAATATTTTCAGGAAATTAATATTTTATTTTCTACACATACATGATTTCTACAAAAACCTTACCTTTAGAGGGTGGCTCTTTGAGGATTCTCCTTTCAGGAATTTCCTGCTACCAGTCACTCCTTGAAGAGTTGTCAGGAAATAATCTTCTGAAGTAGGAAAAAAGAGAAGCACTATTTTCAATGGAACAGGCAATGCAATCCAGCTGCAATCTGAAAATTCACTCTTTGCTTTTCTTTGATTTTCATTTCATTTGGAAACTTCCCCTTACTTATACAGCTCTGAAACCATAAATATATATTACATATATCTACATTTTAGTATTAGCACACTGTATCAGGGTACTTCTCTGTTATATACTTTCAAAACTGAAAGGATCACCTGAAATCCACTTAAACTATGTCTCTTATTTTCTTAGAAAATCATCTATCTTTCACTGACTAGTAGGGCAGGTTATTCACAAAATCACTCAAAACAGTCTACTCATACATCTATTCTCAACAAAAGTTTATTGAGAACTTGTTGAATGACAGGCAATCCACAAAGTATCTATATGACAAAAATAAACTAAGAAAAATATGGCCAGAAGAAATTAGAAAACAATTTAATGAATCAATCATACAGCTCAAGAGTTTAGACGTGGTTTGCTAGAGGAAGATTCCATTCAGTGTCATTGTTCAAAAAAGATTTCCAATTCAAGAAGACCTATTATGACATATAACTTTATCTCCCCATTTCAGTAACCATATTCATTTGGCTCTTTGATGGATTTGTAATGCTATCTGACTGCAAACAAATGTCATGAATCTTAAGAAGAACAAGATCAACTTATACCCATCCTTGCCACCTTTCCTATAAACAGGCCTGCTCACAAGTGCCCGGCTCACATAGTTATCATACCTGGAAGAGATCATATGTAGAAATGGAAGCTTTGACTGGGAAATAAATTGTCAACTCATTTCCTAGAATGATGTTAAGGCAAGGAATGAACAACTGCCCATCCCTCTGGGCTCTAGAATCACCTGATGGGAAAAAAAGGAAAAATTAATACTTTAAGAAAAATATATACACATATACAGATGTGCCTACATGTACATAATATACATATAATCTAGCAATAAAAATTCATGAAGTGTAGGTATCCTGTGTTGTGCATAGCCTGGGAAAGCAAATTTGGATAAGGTTTATTTCAGCAGGTGTTTTGTAGATTTTGTATTTATCACATATACATCTTCTATCATATACTGATGCATGTATAACACCTTTGGGGAATTTTCATCCCATAGAACTTTCTCTGAAAATGAAAATGTTTTATAATTCCACACTGTCCAACATAGCAGGCCGTAGTCACTTGTAGCTATTAAGCATGTGAAATGTGTCTAGAGAGACAGAAGAACTAAGTATACGATGCTTAGTTTTAATTCACTTATGTGAAGTTTAAGTACTTATCCTTATCTAGTGTCTACTATACTAGGCAACGCTGCTGTAGATGATATAAAATAACTTTTTTGGTAGGACTGGGGTTTGAACTCAGGGCAGGAGTTGGGGTACACCTCCAGTCCATTTTGCTCTGGTTATTTTGGAGATGGGGGGGGTCTCACAAACTATTTGCCCAGGCTGACCTTAAATAGTGATCCTTCCAATCTCAGTCTCTCAAGTAGCTAGGATTACAGGCATGAGCCATTATGCCTAGCTAAAATAACTCTTAAAAGCATTTCTAATACCCAAATACACAGGAGAGTTTTAAATATTTGAAAAATATTTTTGTTGTTTTTGAGGAAACTTTTGGATAAACTGTAAAAATCTTTTTTGTATTATTCATTTATTTACATGTGCATACATTGTTTGGGCCATTTCTCCCCCCTGCTCCCCTCCCCTCCCCTTTCTCTCCCTCCCCTCCTCACTTCCCTACAGAGCCTGTTCTGCCCTTATCTCTAATTTTGTTGAAGAGAAGACATATGCATAATAAGGAAGACAAAACATTTTTGCTAGATGAGTTAAGGATAGCTATACAGAGAGATTCCTAGCATTGCTTTCATGTACAAATGTGTTACAGATCTTAAGTGTCTTCCCTGTTTAATTATCTCAGGTTCCCTAGACTGTTCATGGATAATCTGTGAGGCTGCAAGTAATGAAGGTAAGAAATAGCTTTAGTGACTCTACATACTCTTCCGTGAAACTGAGAAGCAGATGTTATTTTGGGGATGAACAGCCCTGAATTATGCTATCTTGTTGCTACTCTAGCTTAGATAAAAAAGAATTATAGAGTAGATTGTGGCAGATGTCTTACAGTAGACCTGCACCAAGGATCCTTAGACTACAAGTGTTTACATTTCTTTTGAAGGTTGACAAGGGAGACATGGCACTAACATGATGTCAGGATGTTCCACAACTTTGCCTATTGTTCCATGGTATGGATTTTAGAATTGTGACGAAGTTAAAGATAATACTATAGCAATAAGGAAGTATCAATCAAGCAACAAGACAATTGTTGCACTCTTCTGCTTGTTCAGATTACTACTATAAATCCTTTGAGTTGCAATGCACCACAATGGTTCCTATTGAATATAGATTTGAAAATCCTTAGGGGACAAAGTAATGGCATATCATGGTGAATACATAATTCTGTGGTCTGAGATATGGTAACTTCGGTCTTGAAAATTCCTGTTTATAAATTTATGGATGTGGATCTGTACCGCCTTGAGTTTCTGAACTGCAAATTATCTTTCCAATACAAGATACATTTTCCTCAAGGGAACCACACATACATTTTGTTGAAAAACATTTGAGTTAAAATAATATATTGTAGAAGAAAAAGATATTAAGTGCCTTAAATAGTAAAGAAATACAAAGTTCTAAAACTACTCTTTCTGCAAAGGCTGCTACTGCTGAAGGAATCTTGGCAAACTATACCAACTAATATGACTTTCACCTGATTTTTAGTTAGATGGCAGATACACTAATTTCTCTATATGTGCAAAAGACTGTCTCTCAACCTTTCTTTGTTTTAATTATCACCTTCCTGGATAGCCTTGCTATGTCTTTTTCCTTAGTTTTTCATTCCCTTTTCCCTGTCTGATTTTTAATGAGACAGCTATGCTGTATATCTATCTGTTTATGTATTGTGGCTATTTAGAGGAATATAAGCCACTGAAATAACTACAATTTTTTATTCCCCAAGAATCACTTTTCATCCATGAGGATATAAATTATGTTAGAAATACACAACTTGAGAAAAACAACTAAATAAGTAAGAACAGCATACAAGGTGTTCTAGTCTGTCTTAACCTGTGTTTGGGAGCAGTTACCATTCTCTTTGTTTTAAATTTAGGATCTTTAAGATGGAGTGCACTCTTTAATGGTTAGGACAGATAGAAATAAAAATTGTATTACATATTCTGGGATCTTTAAGATGGAGTGCACTCTTTAATGGTTAGGACACATAGAAATAAAAATTGCATTACTTACATATTCCGGGGTACCTGGCATGCCTGGAGATCACACATGCAGAGCTCAGGTATTACATGGAGAGTGAGAAGAAGGGGGAAGGAGACAGAGGAAGAGGGGGAGAGAAGGAGGGAAGTAGAAAGAGAGGGAGAGGGAGGAGTGGGAAGAAGGGGGAGCAGTAGTGAGAGAGAGAGGGAAGGAGGGAGGGAGAAAGACAGAAAGGGAGAGGAGGGAGGGAGGGAGGGACAGGGAGGAAGCGAGAGAGAGAGAGAGAGAGTTAGGCCCAGCGTGTTATCTAAACAGGTTTTCCTTATTAAGTTTTAATTTGTAGATTTACAGCAAGCAGGCACAAGCTTTGTGGAGTGACACTGTGACTGACAGGTGGTCACTGAAACATGTATTCACAGTCCACGGTGACTGGGGGTCAGCAGGGCTAGTCAAATAGGTTATATCTAGCACTCATAAGGAAGTGGTCACCATGAAGTGGGCATATAAAATACCTATCTGGATTGACCACATTGAGCAACTGGGAGAAGCATACAGAACTGGAAACTAGCATGGACGACTATTGTACTGTGGTATGAGAAAGTTAAACATATTCAAAATTGATCCTAAGGTCACATAAAATTAAAAAAATTCTTCACTACACTCTTCAATACTCACACCCAACAGAACGTTCTGCTGAGGCCTCAGGTACAATCTTAGCCACACACTTCATTTCGGTACAAGATTATCTTGATTCCTAAAAGAGAAGGAACCATTCAAACATAATGATGCTGATGCCTTTGTTATTGTATAAGCTAAGTTCAGAAATGTCAAGAATCTTAGAACCTAAAGATATGAAAACCATGAAAGACTCACCATATTGTTAATGTTGATTGATTACAAGAGGCTTTCCAAAATAGATTAAATCATTGAGTAGTTTAAAAATCCCAATATTTAAAAATAGGTGAATTTAGGATCAGTGATATTATGTTGTAGAGGGATATTCTAGAAAATTTATAGGGATGAGCATTGATGTTGATGAGAACCAAAATGTCAATGTAGTGTTGCTGAGTTTTAAGTGAAACTAGAACCTTGTTTTTCTCCACAGTTCTCTCTCGAATAAGCACAATGGGGCAAACAGTAACATTCCTGAGAGAACCTACAGGGTCAATAGGGATGTCTCCTCTTCCATTCCTGATTTTAGTGATTTGTATAAGGCTAATTAAAGGTGCTTATCAATTTCATTCATCTTTGTATAAATACTTTTGTTTTTATGAATTTTCTATTTTTTCTTCATGTTATCAGTTTTTGTTCAAATCTGTATTTTGTTCCATTTGTTTGCTTTGGGTTTCATTCTCTTATCTAGTGTTTTTCTTGTTTCTTAGGGTAGGAGTTTAGATTGTTTATCTTCTTATTCTGATATAAGCATTTAAAATGATGTTTATTCCTCTAAAAACATCTTTAGTTAATTCCATTCAGTACAAAATATTTTTAAGAGCTTAAGATCTTTTCTTTAACTCATAGGTTCTATAAAGTATGCTGATTCCAAATACGTGACAATTTTTAAATTCACTTATTTTTATTTCTAATTTAATCTCCCTGTGGTTATAGAACGTACTCTATGTGACTCAAATTTTTTTTAAATACAGCTTTACTAACATAATCTATTCTGAAGACTGTGCAGCTGTGCTTGAAAATAATTTGTATTCTGTTATTATTTATTTGTATACCAGGTCAAGTTGTTAGCTAAAATGCTCAAGACTGTTACAACCTCAATGATTCTCTGTCTAGCTAACCTATTAATGATTGAAAAGAGAATAGCAGACAACAGTTATTATTGTTGAATTAGCTTTTATCCCTTCAATCATGTCAACTTTTGCCTATGTTATCTGGGTAGTGCTTTTATGATAATAATGGCTATACATTCCAGATTAATTAACATCCTATCATGGTATGATGTCCTTCATGTCTATCAATATTTTAACTGAAAGTCTATTTTCTATTATGTCAGTATAATCATTCCTGTTGTCCTCTGGACATGCTCTGAATGATATGACTTTTCCATTCTTTTAATTTGAAACTATTTGTACCTTTGTTCAAACATTTCTCTTTTGTAGACATTGCATAGTTGTTACATATTTCTTTTAGTAGAACCATCTAGTCTCTTTCAAAAAATTTAATATAATTGTCATTTGGTTGGATTTATATGTGTCATTTTCCTGTATATTTTATGACTATTTGTTCTCTGTTTATCCTTAACTGTCTTATGTTTAACAGACATTTTCTATTATACTATTTTAATTATTTGGTAGTTCTTTTAATATTTTTGAGTTTTCATAGTGGTCATAGTATCTAAAAACCACACATTAAATTATCCCAACTGACTCCAGATTAACAGTAACTTTTTAATATGGGCCTTTCTCTGTCTTGAAATCAGTTTCAGAAAAGCAATTCTGTCACTCATTTTGTCTAGAATTCCAAGAGATCAGTTATTGAAGCTTATCACTGATCCAACATAAAAAGAACTATAGACTCAAGATAGGCATAAAACATTAAACACCAAGGATTCCATTCCCCCCTTCCCACTTGACACAACGACCTTATTCATGGAGGCCAGGAACCACAGCAATGATTCAATCTCATGACTGACTGACATAGGCAGACTTTCATTATCATTAGAATGTTACAAATCCCTAAGAATAATATCATTATTATGATATTCAGGACAAAATGCTCACCCCAGAATTCCCATTGGCCTTCAAGGATGGGATAGTAAATTATTCCTAATACTTTATGTTATGTGTCAAGGTGAATGTAGAAACTATTTCATATGAAACTAATTTTTGGCCCCTATGAACCTGTAGGAATAGAGCAAAAATGTGTGAACACAGGAAGTATGTATGTCCATTTTTATTAAACATGTACAAGGATAGGAGGTTTCACTCTGTATCTGCATATAATATGTACTAATTCATAACTTAATTAGGATGTTTCTGATATTATTCAAATTCAAATAATGCAAAAATCCTGGGGGAGAAAAAGACAGAAACCCCAGTGATTATTAATTTCCACCAGAGTATTCATTATTTACATTGTTCGGATTAACAGACTTTGTAAAATAATTGGGTTATAAATTATTTAATAAAATAACCTAGAAAAATTGATTTTTACCTCTGGCATGCATCATTTTGATCTTTTCTAAAGAAAAAAGCTGGTACAACTGATAAAACAGCCCCTCTTTGTGCTAAGGTGAGAATTCCAAGCAGCAAAATACTCTTTCTCATCAACATCACTTCCAATTTACAAAGCACAAGGAGGTATGAGGTAGATGAGAGGCAGAACTTTCTTAATGGTATATTTAGTAACAAGTAGGTGTAAGGACCTTATCAGATATTCACTGGATCACCTGTATGATAAAAACAATTGACACTCACTTCTTGGAACACAGTAGTATAGAAATATTTTCTAAAATACTGGCCTCAAAAATTTCTTCAACACACCTGTCACAATACCATTCCTTCTAAGATCTATCTTTAAACACATTGGGAACCATTGAGGGCATATAAAAGTGACCAGGAAAATCTACATAAAGCAAATGTGGAAGTTAGAAATTTAGTAATTTCACATCTAAAAATGTATCAAGTAGGTGAATCCAGCACTCATTTGTATTAAAATTGTTCTCTCAGCTGATGAGGGGAAAGAAAAAACACAAGAAATAATGGTGTGATCCTAGTAACTGCTTGGCAAGTAAATTACAGTATGATGACTCCACATGTAGCACCTACTTTTCAGTTTTTATGAACTTGTTTCACTTACTAGAGAAATGAAGAGTAAAAACCCATATCCTCTTTAGATTTAGACTATCTTATTGCCCTCAAGAGACCAAATATCATAAAGAAGATTGTGGTAGCTCAAAGAAAAGTGTGAATGGCTTGAATAGAGGCACAACCATTTGCTGGTTCCTCGGGATTTGTTCACTGCAAGTATATTTATGCTGTCAACCAAGCACTCAAGAGTTATAATTTCACCAAAAATTGGTATGTACAACACTGCCCATAACAAATTCTCTAGTTTATGCAAGCAAGTTTGCATTCCAAAAATATAGCTCTCTGGGATCACACAGGTAAATGAATTGAATTCTTCATCCATGTAGCTTGCTATGGCTACTTAAAGATGGTTTTCTGTGTTTCCAAATTTTCAAAGAGGTGATTAGATATCTCATTTTTTTTCAGATGCTTTAACATGACCCACTATTATAGTAATTACTGATATATACAAATTTCTTTTAAAAAGGCACTATTTGCCTCAGAAAAGTGTAAAAAATGAGCACTGTGGAGCACACTGCTTGGGGGCCCACTGATCCACTGTATTCAATCATGGTTACTACTGCTATATCTCAATAATCCAGCTTCTTCTTTGCTCAGCACAGATATCTTATAGCACATTACATAATCCTTACAATGACTAAATAATGTCAACATTTTAGGGATAAAATGCTTACCAACCTAAGAATTCCCCTGAATGGGATAGTGGAAGTCATTCCTAATATTTTCCTTTACATCTTGAGGTAAAGGAATGAACTTTCATGTATGACCAGTGCTTTGTCCCTGTTTACCTGTGGCAACAGATAAACACATGGGATACATGGAAGATGAGAATTATACAAGCATAAGTGTTCCTTGACCTGCCAGGCACAGAATAGTAGGGCTTGATTACATATCTGCATATTAAATAAGCTAATATAGCACTCTCCTAAGATGTCTCTGATGTCACCCCAACAATCAGTATATTAGTCTCTAACCTCCATCAGGGCAACTATTGTCCAACACAAATTAAATGCAATCAGACTGAGTATGCTTGCAGTTTCAAGAAAATCTTGATTAACACATCATTAACAACAATGGATGGTGATTTCTATAAATTCAACCATAGAAACACTTTACCTTCAAAGATGACTCAATGGCTTGGGTGGGGGAAGGTATTTAGAGGAATAAAAGAACAATTGTCTAAATACTGATTATGGCATTCAGTCTTCTTGAGCTCAGGAACCTGGCAATTTGTAGTGGCTGCACAGGGCTATGTTGCATTCTGTTCCATTCAGAGTGGTCACAGCCACACGGGAAAGACACATACAGGTACATTAAGTACAGACATGCAGCTAGAGGGGATGGGTATGGGCAGAGTCAAAAAGGTAGGCACTTAGCCCTCTTACCATAAGACACTCCCCATCCTATTGTCGGAGTGAAGCTCACCAAGCTATACTGCTTAGGACGCAGTGGTATTCAGACAAGTACAACTCTTAGCAGAGCCAAATTTCCCACTGCCACTCCAGTGAGGAAGACAATCTCCATCATTCTCCATGCATGGCTCGCATATGAGGAGTCATCAGAAGAATAAAAAGGTGCTAAAATCCTAGAAAAGAACAAATAAATGCCTCAGAGTACTCACAAAATGATTAAGGTCTCTTAATAATTAATTCAGATATTAATCTGAATTAACAGACTCTACACAGCACCAAATAAGATAATAAAATTAATCCAGGAAAGATTCAAAAACAGTTACATGTTACCTCAAGAATGCAACATTGTGTTCTTTCTCAGATAAAGAAACTGGTAGAAGTCACAAAAATCAGCTCTTCTTAGTGTGGTAGCAAGAAATCCATGGGACTCCAATAATCACTTTGAACTAAACACGCAGGGGAAATTAGGAAAGTTGAAAAGGAAAATCTTCCAACTTGAATATTGATTTGTAAGAGAATATAAAGAATATTGCCAGCCAAGCACTCACAAAAGTCATATAACTCGCAATTGGTTATTTATAGAGAACCATTTCATCTGTTTCCTCTGATAGATGCAGAAGGGTCAGCTTTCAAATACCCTGTGGGTCCTCCTGACTGACCACCTGAAATCTTTCCACATCTGTCTATTATGGTTCCTGTGTTGGACCACAGCTCACAGAAGTGTCTTGGTCACTCATCTTGTTCATATTCCAAGGAGATCATTTTTGTAAGCGTCATTGATCCTGACACATTTGAAAAGGAACCTTGAGCTTGAGGTATATGACAGACACTGAACACTCAGCTTTCAGTCATTCTGGAACATGTTGACCCACACTATTCAGTCAAGGAGACCAGCATCACAGCCAATTACCAGTTCCTAGGCTGTACAGTATATCCAGGTTCCATAGTCATTGTAGTGTTATGACTCCCTAAGAGAAATATCAAAATTCTCAGGACAAAATGCTTACCATTTGACAATTTCCACTGGTTCTTGAGGATTGGTTAACATAATTATTCTCACTACTCTCCTTCACATAATCTCTCAGGAGGACAGAATTCTTTCATATAACATCTGTTTCTCTGTCCATGCCAATTTGTGGAAATAATAAAAATATGGAAATATGAGAAGCATAAACATATTCATTTGTCAACCATGTATAAGACAGGAAGGTTCTTTATACACCTTCATATAAAATTATCTAATGCAACTCTACTAAGATGTTTCTAATGTTATTCAAAATGGAGATGGAAAACCTTGGAAACAAAAGAGATGAGGCCTCAGATAACTCACCAGATAGTTAATGCCTCCCACTGACTGGATTAACAGATATTTTATAAAACCAACTGCCTTCTTAATTATAGAAAAATAATATAATATTAAGCCATAAAACAGTAAGTTAATTAAAATTAGATATTACCTTTTGAGTGTACTGTTTTGTTCTGTCCCAGAGATGAGCTGGTAAGTGACAAGTCATTACTTCTTTGGAATGGTGATAAGAATTCCATGCAATTCCAAAAAGACTTCTACTCCGCAAAGCACAAAGGAAATTAAGAAAGTTTTGAAACAAAATCTCAACAATGGAATGATTCCTAATAACAGTTAAAAGCAATTAACCATAGACATTCATTTAACTATCTGTACAAATAGAAAAAATACATTCATTCCTTCAACAGGAATGCAAGAAAAACAATTTTTCTAAAATGCTGGTTTTAGGCTTAACCCAAAGGCTTCCCTGAGTATGTTAACTAAAATTAGAATCTTTCTTTAAACACATATACTCACTGAAGGAATATGAATATTAGCCAATGGTATTCCTAAAATTCAGAGACTTAGAAATGTAATCTTTTCACATTAAAAGTGTTCAATAAAACATCTAACTTAACCCATCATGGAATATCTCAAAAAACTGCTCCCTGAATGATAGGAAAAAGGGAAAAAAACCCCACTGTTCTAATCCCTTAGCCTGAGTTAACAAGCAAACAAAAGTACACCATAAAACAAAGCCAAGAAAATAATCTACTCTTTAATTTTAATGTATTTCTTTTAGTAAATCAGTGAAAGAGCTAGAGGTGTGGCTCAAGCAATAGAGTGCCCGCCTACCTACCTAGGAATAAATGACAAGCAAATACTAGTAATTTCATTCAAATTTTCTAGCTGGTACTTGTATACATGTTGATGCTTACTTGAGGACATGGTGGCATTTAAGAAAATGGTATGCACAATAACTAAGAAATAAAAACAACCCTAACCCTAACCGTAATCTAAACAACTTAAGTATGGTGAATAGATAAAGAAAACATACATCACAGAATACTATCTAGTCATACAAAAAGGATGAAATCCTGTCATTTGTGTAATGGGTAAAAGTAGATATTGTTATGTTAAGTGAATTTAACCAGACACAGAAGGACAAGTACCATATGATCTCATTCATATGTGAAACCTAAAAAAGTAGGTATCATAAAAGTTGAGATTAGAATGGGGTTACTAGAGGTTAAGGAGAGTAGATGGTAGGGAGGGATGGGGGAAGGCTAATCAATGAGTACTGTTACAGTTAGACAGGAGCAATTAGTTCTGGGGTGCTATTGTGCAGCAGGAGGACCATGGACAATAATAATGTACTGTGTATTTAAAAAAACTTGAAGAATATGTAATATGTTTTGATACATAACTATATATATATATATATATATATACATACAGAAAAAGTATTATAGTCAATCAAGCACATCAATAGATCCATCATTTCACATAATCACCCTTTTATCTTTTTGAGTGTTAAAAGTACCTAAAGTATTTTCTGTTAGTAAGTTTTCAGTATACAATGTGTGTTACTACCACTGTACATCCTTAAGCTACATGTTAGATCTTGAGGCTTAGTTAGTCTACATAATTCAAATTTTACACCCTCTGATCTCCATCTCCCTCATGTCTTCTGTGTTCCCCCAATCCCTGATTACCACTCTTCTATTCTGATTCTATGTATATGAGGTTTCTTTTTAATAAGATTCCACAAGCAAATTAGATAATTCAGTATTTTCTTTCAGTGTCTCCATATTTCAGTTAGCACAATGTCCTCCAGTTTCATCCGAATTGTTCCAAATGGCAGGATCTTCTTTTTAAAGGCTGAATATTGTTAAAACAAAATTGCATATCTCAGAATTTCTTTATCCTTTGTGTATCACTGAACACCTTAGCAATTTTCAAATCTTGGTTATTGTGAATAATGCTACAAAAAACATGGGTGAAAATGTTGTACATATAAAAATGTTATGAACTGAGTGAAAAAGG